AGGACTACTTGGACCCTTAGGGATGGTCCTGGTTCTTCGATCTCGTCCTGGTGTTGTTGCTGTCGTTGCCGTTGCTCAAGAAACACTTTATTGACTTTATTGGGCGCGTCTGGAAACAGGAGTTGGGACTGGGGGCTTGAGCAAGATTTCGAGTCTGGGCTTTAGTACTCGATTCGGCTTTCGGGTTTGGAGTTGGAGACAACAAATGGCGAGTCTTTCTATTCAATGCGCTAAGCCCTGCACCCGGGCAATGATGATGGGACAACCCAGGTTGTGGTGATAGTACTAACAGAAACCGCAGCAATAGCAAACACAAGCATGTGTGAGATTCTCAAATGCATCCTAATTACTAAGTAAGGAATGAAATGGATTCGTAAGAAGCTTGAGCCGGAAAATACCAACACCTCAATTGCCAAACCCTGATCTCTACGAGCCCAAACTCAGAGAACTACTGTTACCCTGCACCGATTGTGAGACGCATGAGTCATGATTACCCACAGCCCTACACCCTTGTGACCCATGGCTGCTGGCCGGTGGCTGGCATTGATGCCATGCAGCATGTTTTCGGCCGTAGCACCTCCCGAAGTTTCAGGTTTAGGGGGTGATCAAGTTATCCAAGTCTTTGTGTGGGGCGACCCAGCATTCACGACTAAGCTGGAACGACTCGGCGTGTTAGAATTTCGGGATCGGGGGCTCGGGCTTTCCGCCTTGCATGGCATCACTGCCGCTGCCGGAAAGGTGCAGACCTCCTGAACGGGAAAACGATGTTTCATCTCACAAGCATAACTAGGAATAACGTGCCTTTCTAGTCCTCAAAAATTCTCGTATACTAGAATATACCTCAAGACCCTGTTTCAAGATCATGCGTGGAACACTCAGCTGTTCAACCGCGTTCATCGATTTTGGTTATCCCACCTTTGCCGTTCGACTCATCCCGCTTGCCACTCTTAGCACCCACTGGCAAACACCTGGGATTGATGAAAACGAATATGGTGATGGAGATGCGGTCAAAGAGAGGCTTCAGCATTCACCCTAAACCCAAAGCTCCTAAATTCTGGACCCTGAAGCCGCGTGCATGCCTCAATCCGAACCCCGGCCCAATCCCCTTAAGGCCTAAGTCCTGAGCCCTAAGTACACGTTCCTGCCAATGCTGCCAGTGCAGCGCCCAAGGCAAAAAGCTGGCGAGGTTGTGGTCGCAACGCAGCACCTCTGTAGGATGCGGGTAGGTTCGGGCTTTGGGCCTTCAAGGGATTCGGGGATTCGGGTTTTGGGGGTTTCGGGCCAGCGGAGGGACCTACACCGGTGTCACCAAGTAGAATAACAAAGCTGTTGAAACGGTACCCATGAGTCGTGGTTGTATAACTACTTTGAGCACACTATCCTTGCCATTGACTTGCTGTCGTACTGCTACTAGCATTTACCATGATTACTATAACTATTACTGCTGCTACTGCAACTTCAACTGCCGCTGCTGCTGCCACTACCACAACTGCAACTGCAACTGCAATTGCTATCATTATTATTATTACTACTA